ATATATATATAATGTGTGTGTGCATGTGTTAGTGTTATCTCTTGGCATGCAGTTGCATTTGTGTGAAATTTTAATTGAATGCTGAAAAAAATGTTAAATCTGTAAAATAAGCAAATCCATCCATCATCTTTACCCGCTTCTTCCTCTTTGCATCGCGAGGTCACTGGTGTCATTATCTAGCCATCACTGTGTGAGAGGTGGGGGACACCCTGGACAGGTCTCCAGTCCATCACAGGGACACATAGAGACAAACAAGACAAACAACAATTCACTCTCTAACTCACACCTAGGGACAATTTAATTTCAAATCAGACTAACATGCATATTTTTGGTCTGTGTACACTGAGAAAACCCACGCATGCACAGAGAGAACATGCAAACTCCACACAAAAAAGGCCCCCCCGGGCCGGGATTTGAGCTGGCAACTTTCTCGCTGGGACCCATCAGCTCTACCAACTGATCCACCGTTATATAAGCATACAAAAGCTAAAAGTAGCAAAACCATAGCAAAAGCAACAAATTGCTAGATTGTATCTAAAAGCAGAAATCGGCAGAACCAAAACTAAAAGCTTTTAGCAAGTCCGTAGCTAAAAGATGAATGTAACCAAACCATAGCTAAAAGCTAAAATTAGCTAAACTTTAGGAAAAGCTAAACTTAGCAAAACAGTAGCTAAACGTTAAAAGTAGCATAAAATGAGAAAATTAGTACAAGTGTGTCGAAACAACACTTTTAAAGTAATTTAGGAGCTATTATTGTATTTCTTTTGGGATTTTTAGTTGTAAATCAACTTAAAAAAATTGAAAAGTGTAAAAGTTACAAAAACTAGAATTCATAGCACTTTGTTTTGATTAGGTCAAAAGTTTTGCTGTTTCAATGATTAAAATAGCACAAAGTAAGTGGAAGTAGTCCGATTGCAAAAAAACAATGTACAGAAGAAGAAACTATAAACAGGGGAACAATAATACTCACACACAAAAAATACACTTAAAAATGAAAACGTAAAAACTGAGACCCAGCAACAAGAGGCCAAACAATTCCCCGATCTGTAACGCAGCCGAACGATATCAAGTCCCCAAACCAAACATACACAGTCAAGTTGTACTAGTCAGGTTACTTGACTTCATTTATAGACAGGAGATTTATTGTATTTACCATCCATCAATGAACTTTTTATAAACGCTTGATCCCATGGAGGGTCACAGCTAATCCCTATCGGCCAGTTGGCACCATGGACCGCTTGGACAGCTCACCAGACCTTCACAGAGATAACTTTATTGTATTGATTTATTTTATAACAAATTGAAATGACTAACGAGTCATAAAACAAAAGGAATGTGTCCTTCTCAGGCCCACCCAGTCACACCTGATCAGTTATACTGTTCAGCATTTATTAATCATCCCTTAAAGTTGACATTTTAAATGGACCAGCTGTAACCAAATGCACTTTATATGGTGCTCTGCTGGCATGGTTTCGCTTGAACAAAAGAGAAATGTCTACATTAATTATTCATTGTAATTGTTTAATTTATTTCAAATAGCAAAGGTCAGATTAGACGAGTTCGAGCTGATATTTATTGTTGTTGTGTGTTGTATTTTATTGCTAACTTTCTCATGTTTTCTGCACAAGATGTGTTTTTTACTCTTTTTAATCTGGCTTAATTGCAAAGCGCTTTGGTCAGCTTTTGTTGTTTTTCTGTGTTATAGAAATAGATTGGCATTGACATGATGTCTACCTGGAGTATATACCTCATTGTACTTTAAAAAATAATCACAACAGTGTCTAAGACGTGCAAATTTCACAAGGCAAACACCTACAGGGTTGGACATGGAGCACCTTTCCCTCAGTTTCCAAACCTGAACACGTGAGCTCTTTAAGTTTGTACAATGACACCTACAGCTCAGGTCTTTGTGGGGTAATGAGACATGGTAATTCATGAAAAGAATATAAGAAAAATACTTCATATTATTAGCTGATGTAAAAAGAAAATTGTCAGTCACAAGAAACTTCCCATAACAATCACTGATAAAATGTTAAGGAATAATTAAATCCATGTTCAGCTTGTTGTCAAAATATTCTTGTTGCGTTGAAGCTGTGAATATTTCCTTCACTACAAATGACAGTAGTTTGCCATAACTTTACTTCCCATGCACAGTTACTGTCAAAATGATAGAAATGCCACTATAGTATTATTTTATTTGTGCATAGACCTTTCGCAATAAACAATAAATCAATTAATTGCATGATAAATGAAAATTATCAACCTCGTTGTCATCGGCTTTATCGTTTCTTTGTGTCTCTCTTTCTACTGAAGAGACTGGATGACAAAAGGCTCGACTCTGGTGCTCTTCACTGACACTTCCCTTTCTCTTTTCTCTTTAAAATCAGTTTTAACCGTCCAAAATCGTGTTTTTTGATCATTAAAAGCAAGAGGCCGACCTCGGGGAAAAAACCTCCGTCTTGTCGAAGCTCCAAAATTCACGGTTGAAACCTGTGCCTTCATGTAAAAAGTTTTTTTCTGCAAAAAGAAGCCGAGAACTTGTTTACTGATATTTTTTTTATTAAAAGCTTTGTGTGAAACATGCTATGCTAAAGAGCTCAAACCACACCTTTTAGAACTGAAG